AGACTCAAAGACTGAGTTGGAAAACATCCTGTCTCCTCTATATTCTGGAAGTTTATGAAGGATTATTATTATTTACTATGTAAATATTTGGTAGAATTATTCAGTGAAGCCATTTGATTCTGGGCTTTTCATGTGGGAGTATTTTTAAATTACCAATTCAGGCCAGGCATGGTGGCTCACACCTGTAATCCCAGCAACTTTGGGAGGCAGAGGTGGGCAGATCACCTGAGGTCAGGAGTTTCAGACCAGCCTGACCAACATGGTAAAACCCTGTCTCTACTAAAAATACAAAAATTAGCCAGGGGTGGTGGAGGGCACCTGTAAACCCAGCTACTTAGTAGGCTGAGGCGGAAGGATCACTTGAACCCAGAAGCCAGAGGTTGCAGTGACTGACTCCATCTGAAAAAAAAAAAATTTACCAATTCAATTTCTTTACTTGCTGTAGGTCTATAAATCTACAGATTTTCTATTTATCTTAAGTCAGTTTCAGTAATTTATGACTCCCTAGGTATCTTATCTGTTCATCTACGTTGCCTAATTTGTTGCCATAAAGTTGCTCATAGTATTCTTTATTAATCCGTATGATTTCTGTAAGGTTGGTTATGATGTCTCCTTTCTTTTGTTTTTAATTATGATTAAATGTTGAATCTTATTCCTCATTTGAAACAATCATACAGGTTTATCCACTTTATCTGTTAATGTAGATAATTATATTAATATAATTTCTATTGATAAACTATCTTTTCATTCCTTGAGTAAGCCCAATTTGGTCATATTTACTATATTGTAGGGTTCAATTTCCTTGCATTTAGAATATTTATATTTAGATTCATATTACAGATTGGCCTTTCTTTCTTTCTTTTTTTTTTTTTTTGAGACAGAGTCTTGCTCTGTCACCAGGGGCCAGGCTGGAGTGCAGTGGCACAATCTTTGCTCACTGCAACCTCCACCTCCCAGATTCAAGCAATTCTCCTGCCTCAGCCTCCCAAGTAGCTGAGACTACAGGCTCATGGCACCATGCCCAGCTAATTTTTGTATTTTTTTTAGTAGAGATGGGGTTTCACCATGTTGACCAGGATGGTCCCGATCTCTTATAGATGATGCAAGGAGAATTCCCTTTTTCAAGAATCTGATCAGTTTAATAAAGTTAGAATGTTCTCTTATTTGCAGTATTTGGTAGAAGTCACCTGTAAAACTGACAGACCTGCTCTTTTGTTAGTACTGTAGGTAGGTTTTAATATATTTTTTCCATTTCTTTAATGGGTATGGCAGAGGTGATATTCAGAATATTTAAATAACAAGCATTGCATGAACACTTGCCAGTCAGAATAGATGCAGATGGCTGTGCTTGAACAGGGTGCTAGAATGGCCATATTGTCTAAGGGGGACTTTTGCTACTGAATCATGGGAAGGTTTTGAGGGAGGTATCCCTAGAAGAGGGGCCTGGGTAGTCACTGGGTGTCAGAGGGTAACTCAGGGCAGTGCCTTTATACCAATTAGTATGAAAGAAGTTCAATCTTTTAATAGTATTTCAGCTAAACCAGTATATAGTGGCTAAATATTAGTCCTGGTAATACATCTATTTCAGGTTTTCTATTTCTTCCTTGGCCACTTTTGCTAAGGTGTATTTTTTTAGTAAACTGCCTATTTCATCAAAGTTTTCAAGTATATTGGCATAAAGCTTATCTATCACTTTATTCTATATTGTTGTCTCCTTTTTTATTGCTGGTATTAGTTATTTGTGTTTTTTATTTCTAGATGAAATTTGCCAGAGAATTGCCTATTCAATTAGCTTTTTTCAAAGAGCAGGCTTTTTTTTTTTTTTTTTTTTGAGATGGAGTTTCGCTCTTGTTACCCAGGCTGGAGTGCAATGGCACGATCTCGGCTCACTACAACCTCTGCCTCCCGGGTTCAGGCAATTCTCCTGCCTCAGTCTCCTGAGTAGCTGGGATTACAGGCACACACCACCATGCCCAGCTGATTTTTTGTATTTTTAGCAGAGACGGGGTTTCACCATGTTGACCAGGATGGTCTCAATCTCTTGACCTAGTGATCCACCCGCCTCAGCCTCCCAAAGTGCTGGGATTACAGGTGTGAGCCACCACACCTGGCCCAAAGAGCAGGCTTTTAAAAAACCTCTATTATATTTTCATTTTTAACATCATCAATTTTGTGCTTTTAAACATCATTTCCATACATCTACTTTCATTGGGTTTATCCTTTTAGTTTTTTCCAGTTTTTTGAGTAAGATGCTTAGTTCCTCAATTTTCAACCTGTATTCAGTATGATTTCTTCTTTGATCCATAAATTATTTAAAAGTGAGACTAAGTCCCTAAACATAAGAATTTTTAATTCTTAACTAAAATGGTACTAAGATCAGGGAAAATGGTTTGTGTGATAATAGTTCTTCAATACCAGCTGAAACCTACTTTGTAGTTCAGTACATGCTCAATTTTTATACCTGTTCTAAGTTCACTTCAGAGGATGTTTTTACTAGTTTTTGGGAGCAGAATTCTAAATATGTGTAATATATCAAACTTATTAATAAAATTAAAATCCTCCACACCCTTATCCATTTTTGTCCCTTTTTTTTTTTTTTAGACAAAATCTCACCGTGTCACCCAGGCTAGAGTGCAGTTCCAAGATCGTGGCTCACTGCAACCTCCACCTCCTGGGTTCAAGCGATTCTCCTGCCTCAGCCTCCCAAGTAGCTGGGATTACAGGTACACACCACTAGGCCCTGCTAATTTTTGGGTTTTATTTGTTTTGTTGTTGTTGTTGTTGTTTTGAGATGAAGACTCACTCCATGGCCCAGGCTGGAGTGCAAAGGTGCAATCTCGGCTCACTGCAACTCTATCTCCTGGGTTCAAGTGAATCTACTGCCTCAGCCTCCCAAGTAGCTGGAATTACAGGCACCAGCCACCATGCCTGGCTAATTTTTATATTTTTAGTAGAGATGGGGTTTTGTCATGCTGGCCAGGCTGGTCTCAAACTCTTGACCTCAGGTGATCCACCCACCTCAGCCTCCCAAAGTACTGGGATTACAGGCATGAGCCGTCACACCTGGCCTAATTTTCGTATTTTTAGTAGAGATGGAGTTTTCACCATGTTGGTCAGGCTGGTCTCCTGACCTCAAGTGATCTGCCCACCTCAGCCTCCCAAAGTGCTGGAATTACAGGCATGAGCCACTATGCCTGGCACATTTTTGACTATCTTATCTATTAGTAAATGAGAGAATGCTGTTAATATTTTCCACTGAGATGGGGATTTCTCACTTCTTTCTTGTAATTCTGTCTACTTTTTCTTTTTCTTTTTCTTAGCATTTATATTAGCTAGATACTTTTGCTTTTTATAGTTTTATACTATGCTTTTAGGTGCATATAAGCTGATAATTCTTTTATATTTTATGAAATGAATCTTTTGTTAGAGAACCTTTTTATCAATAATAATGATTTTTGCCTTAAAGTTTATTTTATCTGCTATTAATGTAGCTACAACTATTTTGTCTTTGATGAATAATTGTTTTTTTCTCATCCTTTTACTTTCAACTTTCCCAGGTTTGTATGTTTTAACTGTGTCCCTCACAAAGAAAATATAGTTCTGACAGACTTTAACACTATTTTTAACTGGACAGTTTAGTCCATATATGTTTATCACAATTATTAATATTGGATTGAAGCTTAGGTCATCTGCCTAACAGTTTTATGCTTTGTGAAAAAACAAAAAAAATTTTTTCCTGAAGTTCAGGAAACTCAATTTATAAGCCAGTTTTCATCATTAACTATATGCCTTGCTCTCATTCTTACATAATTTTCTCCAACATTTTTAGTTGCAGTATATGACTAGTTTTGTGCTTCCCAATTTACCTGTTCTTTTGAATAATTCTCTTTTTTTCCTTCCCTTCTCTGCTTGATTAATCATGTTTTATTAGTTTTTTACCCTCTACTAATTTGGAAGTTATCATTTATATTTCTATTCAAATTTTATTTCTAAATTGCAGTAGACAAATTCATTTAGTAGGTATGCTTGTCTTTGTCTAAAGACGACCAACAGTTTTGTCTTCTACTCAAAGAGTATGGATAGCTAGAAATCTCTAAGAATAGCCCCTCTCTTTTTACATATGACTTTTAAAAAGAATATTTTAGAAATAATGGCCACACACAATGGCTCATGCCCGTAATCCCTGTACTTTGGGAGGCTGAGGCAGGAGGATCACTTGAGCCCAGGAGTTTAAGACCAGCCTGGGCAGCATAGCGAGACCCCCTCTCAACAAAAAATAAAAAATCAGGGGGGCATGAATGATCATGGTATGTTTACTACATTATCATTTCACCATGGCTAGCAAAGCAGGCATATTTTAATTATTTTTCAAACCTCAACTCTTTGAATGTCAGTTTCTTTATAAGGAGACATTTTACTGGAATGTTTCACAACAGGCATAACTGGCATTTTAGGTGGGACAATTAGTCCACTGTGCACACTGACCTGTGTACTGCAGGATGTTTAGGAACTCTGGTCCTTGCTGACTAAATGCTAGTAGTTATCTCTCTTCTCCCATAGTGACAACCAACACTGCCCCAGGCTTTATTTCCAAACATTCCCTTTAAGATCAGTACCACTCCAAATGAAATCTACTCTTTCAATGCATGAAAACAAAGAACAAATATTACAAAATAAATGTATGTAGAATTGGAGGAACAAAAAATGAGAAAGAGTTTAGTTTCACAGGAGAAATAACAAAAATATTTTTTCCTTAAATTCAGGAAACTTTATAAGCCAGTTTTCATCATTACTAGTTGGACTCCTTCCTAAATAATTTTTTCCACAATTTTTAGTTACAATGTATGACTAGGTACAAGTAACAAAAGATATCATCACTTTTTGATTGTTTTTCCTAAAGCCAGTTTCTTTCTTGAGGCTAGGACAGAACACTGAATTTGTTCACCATCTTTAAAAAACGTTTTCGTTCATAATCCTAACATGATCTCCTATTCACAAACCTGTTAGTGTCCCAAATAATGACATTTCCATCAAATCCTGATGTTACTAAGAGTCTTGTATTAGTATCATATTCGATGTTCTTCACCCAGCTAGTGTGACCATGTAAAGTGCATACTTTGGTGTTCAATTTTCTCAGATCCCATAGTGCTATTGTAGTGTCATCAGAGCAGGTAGCAAACAGCCGGTTATCAAGAAATCTAGAAAAGCAGAAAAACAAAACCCTGGTTCATTTAATCTCTTTTTAAAGGAAACTTGATTTAAGAAACAGTCACTATATTACCTAGTGAAGAAATAAAGAAAAAGGACTACATACTCACTATATAAACCCAGTGACCCTGATATACTATAAGAAGTATACTTCACATAATCACAGAGCCAGGATACTATGCTTTAATGACAGTCACATTGCAATTGGATCCATTTGCTTTAAATTACCGATTTTTATTTGGAATTGAAATAGGGGTAAGTGTTTGGAACACATTGGAAAACAGTGATAGAAGGGAAAAAAAGAACTTGAGAATCGGTATAGGAAACAAAAATGATGAGAGAGAATTTAATAGGAGATAGAGGAAGTTTTGAAGCCTTGATTGTTGACAGGGACAAAATACACATTATCAAAATCATGAGAAAAATTTGCTGTGCTACAAGGAACATCTTTTTCTATTTAGAACACATTTACATACAAAAATTGCTAAAAGAATTGCCATTATTTTAAATCTTTTAACTCAAGGTTATTTCCCAAATAATCTCTTAGCAACATTTTTTTAGGACCAATCAAGATTAAGAAATAGACTTAAAATACTCTATAATTCAGACTTTTTATTATTTTACACTAACTTCTCAATCCTTAGTGACAATATATTTAATACAAATACTTAAAAAATAAACAATTCATACTGAATTTTCGTTTAACATTAGAGTGCTTTCTTTAATGCATGCTGTTATCCTAATCTCTTACAGAAGAAATGAATTCTGGCACTTCTTCCAAGATAAATTTACATATAATTGTCAGAAATCAACCTCAATATCCACATATACCATAATGACCTTCCTGAAATTGATCATGGTTTTCAAATGCCAGGCCTTTACACAGGTTCTTTCTGTTACCTGAAACAACCTTCCTTCTGTCCACTGATCTGGCTAATTCTTGCTTTCTTTTTAATACAGTCATGTGTGGCTTAATGATGGAATACATTCTGAGAAATGTGTCATTAGGTGATTTTGTTGTTGTGTGAACATCATAGAGTGTACTTACACAAACCTAGATGATACAGCCTACTACACACTGAGTAGTATGGTATATAGCCTATCATTCATAGGCTATAAATGTGCATAGCATGTTATTGTACTAAATACTGTAGACAACTGTAACACAATTGTAAGTATTTATATATCAAAAGATAGAAAAAATATAGTGAAAGTACTGTATAAAATATTTAAAATGTTACACCTGTAAAAGGCACTTACCTTGAATGGAGCTTGCAGGAGTGAGAGTTGCTCTGAGTAAGTCAGTGAGTGAGGATTGAGTCAGTGTGAAGGCCTAGGGCATTACTGTCTGTTATTGTAGACATTATAAACACTGTACCCTTAGGCTACACTAAATTAATTTAAAATTTTTTTCTTCAGTAATAAATTAACATTAGATTACTATAGCTTTTTTACTTCATGAATTTTTAATTTTTTAAACTTCATTCTTTTGTAATAACAGCTTAAACACTAACACATTATACAACTGTACAGAAATTTTTTTCTTTATATCCTTATTTTATAAACTTTTTTATGTTAAAATGTTTACTTTTTAAACTTTTTTGTTATAAACAAAGACACACATTAGCCTAGTCCTACACAGGGTCAAAATCATCAATATCACTGTCTTTCACCTCCACATCTTGCCTCACTGGAAGGTCTCCAGAGGCAATAACACACACAAAGCTGTCATCTCCTGATAACAATAACTTCTGGAATACCTCCTGAAGAACCTACCTGAGGCTGTTTTACAGTTTACTTTTTTTTTTTCCTTAAAAAAGGATTACATTCTAAAATAACAATAAAAAGTATAACACAGTAAGTATTAAGCAATAGGAACTTTTCAGCTCCATTATAATCTTCTGTTGTATATGGCATCACTCACTGAAACATTATAATATTCTGGAACCACTGTTGTATATGGCGTCACTCACTTAAACGTTGTTACGTGGTGTATAACGGTATTCAGCTGTTATCCCCTCCAGGAATCCTTCCCTGTTTAACCAGCCTGGTAGACCTATCAGTTCTCTGAGTTCCCAAAGCATTCTGGGAGCTTCTATTGTAATACTCAATATTATACTGTAAGGAACAACTTTACAAGGCTATAAACTCCTTGAAGGCAGAAAGAACCTGTCTGCCTAGGCTCATGGTTAGATCTGCAGTATATAATACACATGATGCCAGACACATATGCATTCAACAAATAATTATAAAATAATATATAAAATAAATGAAAGAGGAGTTCACTGCCCAGCAGAAAAGACATTGTAACTACATAATTACACAAAATAATTGTGTGGAGGATGGCTGGGAAAGACTTCATGATGGTATCATTTGAATTGACTAAAAGATGAGCAGGAGCTCCCTAAGTGGTCAAAGAGTAAGCAAAGGTGGCATGTACGGGGATGGTGTCCCTTGAGAAGCAGCAGTTAGGAGTGCTGTGTGTGGGAAAGTAGAGATGAGTAGGGAATACCTTACATATTTATTCTATGGTGATTTCCAGTAACTATTTTTTAATTATAAAAATACATTTCCTGGCCAGGTGTGGTGGCAGCTCATGCCTATAATCCCAACACTTTGGGAGGCCGAGATGGGCGGATCACTTGAGCTCAGGAATTCAAGATCAACCTGGGCAACATGACAAAACCCCATCTCTTATTTTAAAAAGAACAATAACAAAAAACATTTCTACTGAAAATACTTTTAATGAAAAAAAAAATCCATCACAAAAATAATCACTTTCTTGATGTTTAGCTTAATTTATAGGTTTTAAACCTAATTCTTTTAATTTTTTATTTATTTATTTTTTGAGACGAGTCTTGCTCTATCCCCGAGGCTGGAGTGCAGTGGCAGGATCTTGGCTCATTCCAAACTCCGTTTCCTGGATTCAAGTGAGTCTCATGCTTCAGCCTCCAGAGTAGCTGGGATTACAGGTGCCTGCCACCACACCCAGCTAATTTTTGTATTTTTAGTAGAGACAGGGTTTCACCATTTTGGCCAGGCTGGTCTTGAACTCCTGGCCTCAAATGAGCTGCCCGCCTCAGCCTCCCAAAGTGCTGGGATTATTGTGAGCCACCACGCTCGGCCCTGATGATGCTTTTTAAAGTAAAACTAGTTCAATGACTTCCATATTTGTCAGAAATTTTGTGACTGAGACTGGGCACTGTGGCCCTTGTCTGTAATCCAGCACTTTGAGAGGCTGAGGACAGCCGATCATTTGAATTCAGGAGTTTTAGACCAGCCTGGGCAACATGCTGAGACCTTGTCTCTATAAAAAATACAAAAATTAGTCAAGTGTGGTGTCACGCACCTGTAGTCCCAGCTACTCAGGAGGCCAAGGCAAGATAATTGTTTGAGCCAGGGAGGCAGATGTTGCAATGAGTTGAGATAGTGCCATTGCACTCCAGCCTGGGCGACAGGAGTGAAACCCTGTCTCAAAAAAAAAACAAATTACATAATTGTGAAAAATATATACAAAAAATATTTTCTAAAAGGCTACTGTAAAGTTAGTAAAACTTTTTTTTTTTTTTGAGACAGAGTTGTTGCTCTTGTTGCCCAGGCTGAAGTGCAATGGCATGATCTTGGCTCACTGCAAGCTCTGCTTCCCAGGTTGTTCAAGGGATTCTCCTGCCTTAGCCTCCCAAGTAGCTAGAATTACAGGTGCCTGACACCATGCCCAGATAATTTTGTGTGTGTGTGTATTTTAGTAAAGATGGGGTTTTACCATGTTGACTAGGCTGGTCTTGACCTCCTGACCTCAGGTAATCCACCCACCTCAGCCTCCCAAAGTGCTGGGATTATGGTCATGAGCCACCATGCCTAGCCTAGTCAACCTTTTTTTAAAAATTGAGCATATTCATATATTTTATATATATATATATATATATATATTTTTTTTTTAAAGATGGGGTTTCACCATGATGGCCAGGCTGGTCTTGAACTCCTGACCTCAGGTGATCCACCCACCTTGGCCTCCCAAAGTGCTAGGATTACAGGTGTGAGCCACAGCACCTGGCCAGCATATTCATATATTTGAAAAAATTTTTTTAAATAATAAAGATATTCGGTGGCTCAAGCCTGTAATCCCAGCACTTTGGGAGGCCGAGGCGGGTGGATCACGAGGTCGAGAGATCGAGACCATCCTGGTCAACATGGTGAAGCCCCGTCTCTACTAAAAATACAAAAAAATTAGCTGGGCGTGGTGGCGCGTGCCTGTAATCCCAGCTACTCAGGAGGCTGAGGCAGGAGAATTGCCTGAGCCCAGGAGGCGGAGGTTGCGGTGAGCCGAGATCGCGCCATTGCACTCCAGCCTGGGTAACAAGAGCGAAACTCCGTCTCAAAAAAAAAAAAAAATAATAATAATAATAATAATAAAGATATTTTATTCAGTCTACAGAAAATACTTAATACACAGATAGATTTAAAACCCCAAAGGGTTTTTTTTGAGGGGGACAGTTTCACTCTTGTTGCCCAGGTTGGAGTGCAATGGTACAATCTCAGCTGACTGTAACCTCCCACTCCCAGGTTCAAGCAATTCTCCTGCCTCAGCCTCCGAGTAGCTGGGATTATGGGCATGTGCCACCACACCTGGCTAATTTTGTATTTTAAGTCGAGACAGGCTTCCTCCATGTTGGTCAGGCTGGTCTCAAACTCCCAGCCTCAGGTGATCTGTCTGCCTTGGCTTCCCAAAGTGCTAGGATTACAGGCATGAGCCACTGCACCCAGCCAAGAAAGAATTTTTTAAGATACAAAAAGCATAAATCATTAAGGATTGATCAATTCAACTGCATACAAATTTTAAACTTCATTGTAATCAAAGACATTATAACAATGTGAGAAGATAGGCTATAGTTGGTAGGAGAAGATGTAAAGATACTTTCAATGTACATAACCAGAAGAGGATTAGTATATAGGTTATATAAGATAACGCTTTAGCAAAATAGGCAGAGAA